GATTTTACGCATTGCACTGCGGAAAAAATCCTCGCTTGTGGTTAAAAGCCCTTATATATGCGTCTTACTATTTAGAGATTCTAATTATAAATAAAAGGTGTATCAATGCAACTTCAGATTTTATACATTTTTAGTTATATATCACATCAAAATCGAACACATTTTTGATTAGAGATTTCTTATAAACTGCACTACTTGTGGTACAAGGCCGTTTGTGCGGATGTATGCAACAGTGAGGAAGGCTTGAGATGGACCCAGCACAGGTGAATTCAGACACATTTTCTAAGGTTGGCTGTCCGGCGGTCTTTCTTTTCTTTTCTTTTCTTTCGTTCAATCTACAGGCAGCGAAATTTTAAACCATTTTGATGAAGTTCGGAACGCTGAAACGTTTTGATTCAAGGACGAACGTTGTTGAAAATAGCTCAGATTGGTCCACTTTTACGTTCGCTTTCCTTATAACGACTTAATTTGAAAAGTCGACGTGAGGTAGGGTATTGAATGGTAGGCCTTACGCCACTATAATGTTTTTATTTGTTGTTTTTAGTCTTTATATTATATATAAATAAATAATGATAAACCCACTAAGACTACCTAATTTAGGCTTAATACTTCTTAGACTACCAAATGTTAACTCATTTTGATACGGGATTATTGCTTTAGATCGGGATTTTTTATAACAAAGCTCAAGTGCTAAACATATTTCTTTACTTTCAAGCTCTAAAACCCAAAATGAATTTATTTTTATTACTCCCTTAGTAAAATCTTACTTCATTTTCTGTTTTGTTTTTGTTTATACAATACATTGTTCATAAATTAAGTTGAAAATTTCATTTGAACAGAGAAGTGAAAAATACATGGACGATTGTGTGTGTTTGTGTGTGTGTGTGTAAAATGAAAGAAAGTCATAAAATACGCGAAATTGCAATCCGGCTAAAGCTTATTTGCTGACTTGAGTAAGTTTTGCAGGCAAGAACATAAGATGCGGAATGAAAACGTAAAGACCTTTTTTAAATAGAGACTGAATGAGAGACGAAAAGACGATATGCTGAGACGATGATAATGATGCTGAGGACAATTTTCTTCTTCTTCTTCCTCTTTTTCGCATAATTTCATTTTCCCATGAAACAAGAGATAAAGGACATAAACTCGTGTACATATGAAGTTAATATTACTTGATGCAGAAGTAAAATTTTTTCTCTCTCTTTTTTTTAATAGTTGAAAAAAAACAAAAAAAAATAAGAAATAAAAAATAAGAAATGAAATCGTAAGAAGAGATGATTTCGCTTTTATCAGAGAAAAAGCATTTAATTTGTTTGAGCAGACGATGATATCACATCACATCAAGGTATGAGGGAAATAGCATCAGAAGATATTGCTAAAGTCAAAAGAAAATTAAATGAGGGAATTAATAGAGAGCTTAACAGGGATTTCCCGTATAAATGTGAGAGACTTTACTATCGTTAGTTTTATGTACGCAATGCTTGAAATATTTGTATTCACCTTACTTGGTTAAAAGAGATAAAACAAAACACAAAAATGTTGCTTTTCTTAAATCCTTTTCTTCTTCTTTGCGACTATCATCAACTAAAGAAAAGAGTCAAGAAGAAGGCCACGCCCTCAATAGGATTTGATTTCTTAATTTGAAAATTTGGCACAATTATCGAATAGACGTATAAATATATGCCTGCGTTTGCATTCGTGCGTGTGGGTTTTCTGTGCTTAAAAGCGTGTGTGTGTGTGTATATTTGTATGTTTGTTTACGTTACTAACCGCACCCATTGAACGCAACGGGTGGTCTTATCTCTAAATCCTCCGAATGAAGTTTTTTTTAACACCCGCTGCGCTTTTATCAAAGGATGTACTAAACCTACATAAAAAAAGAAAAAAAAAGAAACATACACACTTAATATTTACGTGTGCAGAGTACACGCTTACAAAAGAGTACTACAAAGATTACATTTCGCCAGCAAATTAAATACACAAATCAACGGTAAACGGACCTTTATTTTCCCAATCATTCACATATGCAAGCCGTCAATATATATATATATATATATATGTATATATATGTTTTATTTTTTTTTATTTTTATTTTTTTTTTTTATATACGTTTAGGAAACAACTAATGCTTAGCAGTATTTACTTCACCGATGCTTACCTTTGCCGTAACTAGTATTGATTACACATCACACAGACAAGCCACATACATATATATGTATATGCACATAATATAATCATCATAATAATAATGTCGGCATTATGTAGAGAGAATGATTTTGCCGCCAAAGACGCTGATTGTGTTGATGAAATTAAATTTAGAAAATTGGAAAAAATAAACACAATACACGTAGATCTATTGAAAATTACCGTGCACTTGAATAACACAAATGTATCAGTCTTTATAACCCGTGTCTATCTATTATTCGGAAAACAAAAACATATCATATTTATGTTTCGTTTATGTTATTAACAAATGCTAGAATTTTTCATTCGACAAATCATCTGGAAAATAACAAAATTAACTGAAATTCTTTTCGCTATACGGAGAATGCTTCAAACGCCTTTATGAAGTCTCTTTACTCTCTAAGACTTACTGCAACAATATGGAGGGTTATTCGCTCCGTGCTGTAGATTATGGCAATTCTAGTGTTAACTTTTTTAATTGGAGACAGTGTTCTTTATGATTAGCTTTTCACCCAGTTTTCAACGGGAGCTCAAAATACTCAAAAATATACTTTACTATTATTAGTTAGACCAAAAGATAAATGCTAAGATTAAAGTCTTAAACGACCAGCATGCAAGGATGTTGCCTTTTTGCTGAAACTCTATCTTGAAATTTGAGTTGTTTGTCGCGATCCTATGTCACATATATACTTTATATTTTATAATTAATTAATAAATTTAACTAAGCATTTTTATTTCTAATTAAGAACAAAATACGAAAATGCCCATCTTCAATATCAAAGGCCACGTGCAATACTTGCGCCGTAACAGCAGTAGACACTTAGGTAGCCATGGTGAAGCTTAACTTACCTAAAAATTAATTTAAGTCAAACCAAACGCAATGAAGTAGATACTAATTGAATACTTCAGCTAAGGATCTTCTAAAATTATGCAGAATCTAGTGGATACGTCTTGGCCTAGCTCTAGCGGTCATAAACTCCACCCGCGCATTCATCTTAGAAGAGATGGTGAACGTTATTCCTCTACCCGGAAGTTTTCGTTTGCTCACCAATTTCGCCTCTAACAAAATTCTACCCAAGAAGGGTCATACTTTAATTTTTTTTCCTTTTCTTTCATCTACGACTTTCTATCGCGCAATTCTCCTCATTCCTTTTTTAAGATCCTCGCTAAAAAATTTAATAATTGCAACCTTGTAAGAGCTGGTAATTTATTCAAAATTTCTTTTGCATCACACAATGTCCAAATTGTAATTAAATTCTTGCCTGTGAGAAAGTCCACAGTCACTTCCGCATGTCATGTCATTTGTCGAATTTGATCAATGCCAATAGGAAAAATTTTTTACTTTCCTTTACTGATGGAACTAAGACTGAGGTTGTCGGCATCGGTCTCTAAACATGTAAGTATGTACGTTGAATCTATAGTACTCCGAATGCAGCAAAGGTATGCAACCACGAAATGCAATAATAATGTGGTTCCAAAAATGTATACAAATAGAGTGTTTGCGGAAGACAGAGTCAGCCGGATAAGAAAATTTGGCTCGACAAAGAATATTAGAGTTGAGAAGTCGAGAGTATTGCCAAAGTAACATGTAAATAGTCCCACCCTTAAACGAATCGATTGTAAACAAAAGAGTATTATAGTGAAGACGTGCAAGTGTGTTCCTTTCTTAAAAAGAAGATCCACAATCTAGTGATACGAACCATATGCGAGAAAAGCGAACTTCGTAACAATATGTATACCTAATGACGAATGATTCAAAAACAAGATAGTTAATAGCCATACAAATTGAAGCTAGAAGGACGTGAACACAACATGTCCCGCTCATCTCATTAATAGAAGGAGAGGCACCCTTGAATGTATTATTATTATTATTCATTTCGCCAGAGAAATAAATTCTTAGACTAAACTTTTAAACCGCTAGAATCTAAGGCTATCGGCTTTTATTAAAAACTCAACCGCACTTGAGATTCGAACCCACGACCATTGACTTGCTAGTCGAGATTACTCGCCTTCGGCTACTCAGGCGGATCCCCCCTTGAATGTAATATATGAAAAATGTCTTACTCCCTATTAACAATGAAAAATTAATACATCGCATTAAACCGCAGAAAGATCATCGTCCGATTCAAAATCAAAAGCAAAATCGAAAATTTAGGCTTTGAAAATGTCCCTGCGTACTTGGTAGAATACACTAAGTATATGCTGCTAAGAGCTTCTACATATGAGCCAAAGCATAAAGAGAAACAATATAACGAACTATGCAAAACTAAAAGCCAGAAAGATATATGTGAATAGGATAAAACTCGACTCTGAACTTGTAAATTTGAGCTACATTTGTGGTCGGGCAAAAGGTGCTAAAGACGGCCAACAAACCAGATACCCGATGGGCCCTGGATACTGCCCTAAGAAGAAATTAGGAATTCCTTTCGCGGAGGTTACTATAGGAAAACCTTATAGCCAGCGACAGACAACATTTCCAACAACATGTACTTTCACGTTATTATGAAATCTTGCTTTGCTGCTAAACAGAAGAAGGGAAAGAAGTTAAATTGGAAAATCGTTAAAAGAAACGTCCGAGGCAGAATTTAGGAAATTAAGAAAAAGAAAAAACGCTTGCTTTCTTTCATTTACTTTGCTGAAAATATTAAACGATACGCTTCGTAACTCCTGTTTGTGTTTTGCTCATAAATCTTGACACAAATAGAAATTTTTCGTTGGAAATTCGGGCTGTTTTTAAAAAAATTTAAATTTTTCAATTTTTGTTTTTTATATTTTTTTTTTGCTAAAATAATACGAAAAAAAAATAGAACTTCGTCATGGCTGAGGGAGGCGACGAGACTGCAATGCAAAAAGACTTGGATAATGAATTTCAACGCTATCTTGGGCAGTTAGACAATTTCTTAGTTTCGATGAAACATCGAGACAAAGCATTAGCAACAGAGTGGATTGAAAAACTAAAGAAATCGAATAAAGATATACAAGAAAGAAAACTGCGCAATCGCTTTATCAAACATTTCGTTGAATCTACCAATAATGACAAGTCTGTCTTCTCGTCCAAGCCATTCAAAAATCTGCCGCAGTACTTCAGTGATCCTTTAGAAGAATTTAAATCATTGCTCCCGCTAACACCGGAGGAAATCTTACATCCAACCGAAGAAGTGAAACAAACTTATATATCGGAATTATTCACTAATGTGCCAGAGGGAGCGAAATTTTTGCAAGTGCAACCCGTACCCAGGCAAGGTTCATTTTTTATTCTGTTAGTCATCCCCGATGACAGTAAGGAAGGGGGGAAAAAATGAGCCAAAAGTCAACAAGACGATTTGCAAAAACAGAGCAAAAGGAGCGAACAACAGGAATCGGAAAAATAGAAAAGAAATATAAAAATTGCATAAATTATACGCGAAAGTCATATATGTTTGTCTACAAAAAAAAAAAAAAACGAATGAATAAAAATTGTTTATAAACTTTAAATATTACCTATAACGTTATTATATTAAATGACGCCGGCCGGTCACAGTGCGACTTTGAATTTAAGGAAAGTTGACATAAAACTGGAAATCTTAGCGCAACGAACAACGAACTTAGAAAGCGAAGGCGACAGCAAATTACTTCGACGGCATACATGGCAGAAACAACCTCGCAATCTTCTTTACACTATGTCATAAAATTGATGCCAAAAATAGACCAAATATATTTAACAATGCTAAGACTCGCTTTCACATACATAGGAGACATAGATTTCCCTATTATATCTAAATTGTTATGAGAGTCAAACAGCTCAAGGCTGTCAAGGCTCAAGCTCTTTATTGCAAAGAAATGTGTTGTGTTACTCTGTTCGAAATTATACATTCATCCCGATTAATGAGAGAGTTCTGAGAATTCTGAGTAAATTGTATCTAAAGGCATACTTCCACATACTTTAAGTAAAAGTCTCGTCCCACACCTCATCTACTACGAATCATCTCTCATCTCTCTTGAATTTAGACTTCTTTGGTCGTGGATTGTGAAAATGAAGGGAAATACTTTTGCTTACTTTTCGCGCTGTTCTAGTTTGCTATGAAAGGCTACAAATTTTCGTTTTATATACTGCAATATTTTTGCCTCCTTAAAGCAAGAACGCATATAGCAGAGAGCTTGCGTATCATATAGAATAGCATAAGTAATATAAGACATCCGAGGAGCAGAAATTACTTATAAGCAGATCTACCTAGAGAAAGTTCTTTGAGGGTTTTGACCTATGATACCGTCCTAAATACTCTTGTTATTATCTTTTTAGCGAATATATTCGTGCAACTATTTAAAGTTTGGAAAGGATTGTCGAACACATTCAAGCAATGATGTGTTATATTAGAAGAGCTTTTCTTCGAAAAACGTCTTTTTCAGATTGAAACTGGAAGATAAAGTATATAATGTCTGAATTTGTCCTACGAACGTTCCATTCTCTTCTATAATTTGGAAATCAACAGTCAATCATTAGTTCTAGAATATACCGTGTGCAAAAATATAACGGATCGTAATAAACCAAGCTTTTGGCTTAACGTATAAAGGCTATGGCCAACTGTAGGCATACGAGGAAGTCGATACGCTGTGGCGATACTGACAGAAAAGGCATGTTTTTTGCCAAATCAATGTCCAGTTGCGTTATATAAAAAAATCGTTGTCGTCGCTTGTCTATTACTTCGTCCGTGAGCATATGTCAGAGTGTAACACGTCCATTTGGAAGTATGTAAGTTAGCTCATTGAAGCGAACATAATGTAGGATGTGGACCAAACAAAAAGCACTGAAAGCTTGAAATGTTCATTTTCTTAATTGGAAGACAGCATCCGCAGCGGGGTCATGACGAACTAGGAAAAATAAACGCAATACAATATTTAAAGCGCTGGTCAGGGGCAACATTCACACCAAACGCGGCATCGCCAATAGGTAATTAGCTGATCGTAATTGGTTATGAATTATTCCCGTTGGAGAACATTATCAGCAGATTAGTTTTTCAGTATAACAATGGTCGCGTTTAGGCTTTTTTCGTTCTCATAAACACCTTTTCCCAACGAAGTCTTCCCGCCTGTCTGAGCAATGTTTGTCTACCCAAAAAAGCGCGTGTACCTAGATGGCCTCAATTGTCTTTTCGCCATTCAATACATGCAATTCTATGCACCAAATGTGCAGCTAGTGCTTAAAAATATTTGAAATAAATTGTTTTTTCTTTCGGAAAAAATGGGCATGACTTGTAGTTACAACTGGTACATATTCAAATCAAGCAAAACAAGAAAGGTCAAAATCATCGAATTTAAGCGTCGTGTACGGTGGTGCTTTACATTACTGATCGAAATACATTTAAGCATTATTATACATACACATATACGTGTAGGTTTATTGCTTCTGTGCCTAAGTTTTGCTGACTTTAAAAATTAAAATATTCGAACGTAGGCTGATGCACGTACCTAAGCTCCCATTCAGATCGTTTATAATATAGTTCTATGAAAGAAAGAAAGAAAATGAAAATCAGAAAACTCACGCGAACATTGAAGAGAAGAAAAGCAAATCTTTCTTCGATAACGGTAAAAACCTTCAAACGGTGTTAAATATAAAAGTTATTTATAAAAAAATCCGCCTGAGTGGCCGAAGTCGGGGAATCTCGACTAGTAACTCAATGGTCGCGGGTTCGAATCTCAAGTGCGGTAGAGTTTTTTTAATAAAGCCGGAAAGCCTTAGATGCTAGTGCTTTAAGAGTTTAGTCTAAGAATTTATTTCTCTGTCGAAATTCATAATAATAATAATAATATTTACGAAAAAATTGTAATTATAACAATTGTAAAATTTAAAAGTTTATTGCAACAACTCTTTCAGATCAAACATCAAAAGTAAAACATTATGTATTAAAGAAGTCATTATTAATAAAAAAATAAATAACTTTCTATTAAGATAACGCATCGCAATAAGTATCTCATGTACACACGCGCTTTACGTTCTGAACATGAATAGTTAACTTTGTTTTTTGATTATGTTGTAATAGTATGAAAAAAAGGGTGCATATGATGTTGCTTTTGTTTTCTTTTTTTTTTCTCTCCTTCTCTTACCCATATTTATATTTATTTAAGTAATTATTTACACTTGGAAAATCCCATCATAGAGTGAAACCGTAAAGTATACAAACTATCGCTTTAGTTAACTACCCATAATACGCCCCTTGTGCCCATGTTTATTTATATCTCTGCGTGCGTATGTGTGTACACACATTACACTCTTAACTTCAATGAGGTTTTGAAGTACGAACACGAGCTTGAAGGCTTCAATGTCTCAATACAATAAACTACTTACACATATACTATTATGCCAACCAAAAAAAAAAAAAAAAAAAAAAAAAAATAGAAAAGGAAAACGTGTATTGTAAGGGATATTTCTACTTTTTTTTTTTTTTTTTGTATATAGATGAAAGTTTCGTTAACCGGTTCGGTTTACGGGTTTAGTGTGAATTATACGTAAACGGGAGATTGCGGATGCTGGTTGATGTACCCTTTAAATTTATTCAATTAATTTTATGAGTTTCGGTAGCTAGGTCACCGGCAATAGCAACGTGAACACGTAAGGAATTCGTGTTCAGTTTTTGCTCACCGTAAAGAGTTCAAATAAAAGGTAACAGAAGAGGCACCGATATATCGAAAAGCAAACTGAAAGTGTTTTGGATGCTGATTTTCTCAAACTTCCTCTTAAAGGATTTGAAGAAAAGAACCATAGATCGATATATAAAGTAAGCTAACTAGAGCTCTAATGCATTTTATTTTAAATTTATATATACTTATATATTATGAATCTATCTAACATGCATCGACCACATGCTTGTCAAATAAATAAAATATGACGGTTTCCTTTGACAACTTCAATGGTCGGTTATCTCTTTCCTTTTAACACAGATTTAACCTATGAGAATAAGTGAGAGTTACATGGGGAAAAAATAGACGATTAGGGCGAATAGGCTTAGCTGTTTTATTTGGCTAGAAATGCCTTGAGAAGCAAGCAATGCGGTGTGGGCTGATGACTAATCATCATGAAAAATCCATGATTTGTTAGTTCAGCATTTGAGACGCAATCGTACGAATACTTAGCCGGCGGTCAGGTCGGTTCACACTTACGATTTTCTCAATGTTTTCATCCATTTTAGTCGTGGAAGCCCGACCCTCCTCAACCTCCTCATATCTATAATGAAATTTTGAATCACTTAGAAACCCGCAAACCTGGTAAACATTCATTACAATGTACTTCCTTTAATCAAATATAAATTTCACGACAATTCGTTGATCTACTGAAGCATTTATGACTTTTCCCTCACACAAAAAGGTATCTTGTATAAACAAAAACCGGGGGCAAAAGAGACACAGCAGTCGAAAGAAAAGCCTTCGTAATACAAATATATCTTTAGCGCTTACATAGTTATTCAACAGAAGCAGCAATCTCCTTATTTCATAGGCATACTTTGTATTAAAGGTACATGTCAAAATAGTGATCATCAAAGATGATAGATGGACACTTCCATCCGTCAGTGAAGTGGTTATAAAAGCGTAATTGTTTTATGTAGACGTACGGACGTCCATTCAATGCTCCTCGTCGTTTTAAGGACATGTGATAATATAAACTTTTTCTAAATCGAAATTTACTATAGCGCAGAAAAATACATACTTCAATGAAGTTTGAAAATTATCTAAATTTTTTTACCGGGAAACAAGTAAGCATCTTGAAAAGGAACGGCAAGAGATGGAACAGCTACAGCAGACATGAAATGCAACGAATATTATACTTATACGCGAACGTGTTGTTGATGATCCAAACTCGTCGATCATCGGCTTCTCTTTTTATGGGGTGCTTTATGCAAACATGATTACTCAAAACACTTTACTGAAGAAACCAATAAGAGTCGTGTTCCACAAGGCTTAAGTAGGTGGATTCTAAATCATGTGGAGGTATGGGTACCACAAATACTACAAAGATGCGCGAGCAGTCAGATGGACAGAGGAAAAGGCAGACATGTTTAAGTGCTTTCCAAATTTGAAAATGCCCAAAAATTTGTGTACTTTATGGGGCGTTCGAAGCTTGTTACTGTGCGTTAAAAAACAACTAAATTTTAATACACTGTTGGGTACGCTACGGTATCGCCAATAGAATATGCATTCAAATTTTTGCAGAATTATTTGCGTTAGTTTATGAGTGATGAGGACAAGAACAATTTTGCATTCCTTTTGAAAAACAGAGGTGTTCTCAGTTTACGTGGCGCTGAAAGCGTGTCCTTTGACCGATTTGGACAAT